TTGATCTATATACTTCTATATACTGTAAATTCACATACTTAGAAGGCAACAATACCTGGACAGCTAAATCGCAGTCAATTGAAACAGGTAGATTGCAGGCGGCACTGGATCGCTTACTTCTAACATACTATAGTGCAATTCTCTATTATTTGTATAGTTTGTCTTTTGAAGGAATATTGTTTTGCAAAAGTTCCCTAGAAGTTCCCTAGAAGTTCCCTGAAAAGTTCCCTAAAAATTCCCTAAAATTCCCGAAAAGTCCAAAAAAGTTCCCTATAAGTACCGTACATTTGGAAATTGGCGGGAGGCTCGGGATCAAAAAGTCGTAAGAAACCACATGAAAAATACTTGAAAATATAGACTTGACCAGCTTTTCACGTAGATTTCAATGGAGGTATCAGAAATCAACCAAAACCACGGTAAAGCGCTGCGATTTGATGCTAAAGTTTCTCCAATTACTTAACATCAAAGGTCTGGCAAAGGAGATTTCCTTTAAGTGGTGGCAACGGACAGACAGAACACTTAATACGTCGTTTAGCATACAGTCACAAATATAACATAAATTACTTATGCAAACGGTAACCCCCGACCTTAGAAACAACATCTCCTCCTGCGATATTGCATAAGTCAAAAAACTGAGTAGCCCACGCAACAGAGCAGTATATGCACGGTGGCGCTGAAAAACGATAATTGCATAACTCGGTTTTGTCATGAGGAGATAGCTGCAGCACATTCTCCTCCCGCCAATTTCCAAATGTACGGTACACGTGTACCCAGGAAATTCCCTAAAAGTACACGGGAAGTTCCCTAAAAATCCCCAGGAAGTTCCCTAAAAGTTCCCTTTTTTTTTCGGGTGTCCGTCCCGACAAACGGGTCATGTTATAACATTCGTCTTTTCTGCGCGGAAACACGGATCGGAGAATACGTTTTTGCCGTAGAAGGCCTGTCCGCCCTTCGAACAATGACAAAAATCCCTTAAAGCGCACTTTTGCCGGACATTGTGTCCACCTCGAAAGGGGGAGGCGTCTCCCTCAAAAGAAATATGTGAAGATTTCACCAAGTAAGTCCATTTGTATGCATAAGTCGACAGCTAGATCGCACGCTTTGAAGGCGAACTAAAAGAACTTTAAAATCCTGATAAAATGAGACTGCATGCATACTATTATAGGAGAACCCACTCATCCCTCCTATTGACAAGCAGTCATAAGAAATAAAGAGGATGTTCTTGTAATTAGTATCTATTTGCATGCTGTAGTGAAGGACACTGAGCTCAGAACATCCCCTTTTGTGGCTGAGTCATTGGCCCAGAGTAATAGATCGCCCCCTCTGAAATTTTCCTTCAATATCCACTGGCTTTTGCTGGTGTAATGTTGAATTGGCAAATTGCCGGACATTGTCCAACCATTAGAAATCACATTAGTCAAATCGTTCTCGAATCGTATTTTTCTCATAAAAATTTACGATGTCAAATGGGAACATGGCATGACATGCGCGCATTGTTCGTCACCAGGGACAAAAAAAGATTGTTTTGCCGTGTAAAAGCAGGACCGAATTTTAAAAATTAGTTTCATCGTGGTGAAGAAAACTTTCACTGGAATTGCGAATAATACACAAATATATTGAAATAGACAATAAAAATAAAAATCACAGACATCAAATCAAAACAGTGATGTTCGATTCAGCAATAATATGAATATTATGGTAAGTCGTATACAACATGAAGCTGAAACAGTTATTTATAATCATCTCTACAACCACAAGTAACTTGTTCTTGATCCGTTGGCTCGCCAGCACAAAGCAGGTGAACAATTGTTTGACAATGAACACACCTATGAATTGGTCGCAATTCTTGATGTGGATGGTCGCAACCCCCACGAATACCACAGGGGCCAATTGGGAAGCCATTTGCAGAAAGATTGAGATGAAGTGCTGTGCCATCTGTAAGGGCAACTGGTTGCTCTTCTTGAGGCTCGCCTCTAGCCGCCCTCACTTGAGCCGCCTCTCTTCGCATCACTGCATTGAGCCCTTCCTCGCCATCCTTGCCTTCTTCGCGATCTCTTTGACGGTTGACAGCGTCCACTGACGTTGGACCTTCAATACTTGCAAATGCTGCTGCAAAAGCTTCACTGTCATCGTCATTTGGTGTATTGTATATTGTTGCATTTCTTGTTCGTCGCCGTTTTCTTGCTGGATTGTTGTGTCTATCATTTGAACGAGTTCTTGATGTTTTCTGGTTACAGTCGCGGGTACTTATTGTCCTAGAATTCCCATTTCTGTGGCTTGTTCTTTTGGATTTTTCCTCTTCTCTGCTTGCAGCGGCAGGTCGGTTCCTCCTCCGATAAACCTTTCTTCTTATCTGCCTTGTCTCTGCAGTAACAACAGTGGGTGTTGTTGTCATCTCCGAATTTCTTGTTGTCTCAGGATTTCTTCTAGCTTCTTCATTTTCTTCAATTTCTTCATCTTGGTTCACCGATGGCTCTGTTGGATTTGCTTCATTTGTTTCTTGTGGTTGTCGTGCCAGCTTTCTGGATTCCCGTACTTTTTTTAGTGTCGTGGCCCATCGGACCGATCGCTTTCCATCAGGAAGCTTCAAACAATTTTCTTCTGTTGCAATTTTAAGGAAAATATCATCAGCTTCCTCGATTGTCAAGTTTGCAGTCTCAAGTCCCTTGTTTGCTGCCTGCGTTTCAATATATTTACATAGGGTCTTAATATCATTGAATTTCCGTCGAGGCGTCCGCTTTACTTTCCCTGCCATAAATCCAAAGTCAGCACCTTTGAGAAATTTCAGTGGTGGAATCTTGTTCACTGTATCTTCTGTGCTCCAAGCATTCCAAAGACTCTGAGCTGTTCCTTGTGGCCATTCGTACTCTTCTGGTAGGTACCAAGTTGAACCGTCTTTGTGCGTATGAATATGATGAGCGGTTGAGACATCATTGTTTGTTTGACCCAATCTTAAGCCTCGCTAATTGTTTGTTGCTAGGAGGTTAATGTTTCCTCTCTTGTAAAGCTGTTGTAGGAAATCCGCATAGGAAGCCTCTTGGGAATCTGTAACAATTCTTCGTATCCGTTCTTCACTTATGCTTGCATTTGCAACGTTCCTGTCGTTGAAAAGGTCATTCATTGTGTCCTTTAACTTTTGCTGCCATCCTGATTTGAAATCTTCTGCAAATTTAACAAGGCGCTCAATGTAAACCGTCTGACAAACATGTGGTGGGATGCCAGATAGAGACCGAACGTCTGCTGCATTGTCCTCCCAAGGATATATGACTCTGGCCTTCTGCTTGAGACGTTCCACCACTGTTTGGTCGCGGAAAAAATTGCTCTGTCGAATGATATTGCCCATTGGTCATTGCAGAACGTGGTCTTTGTTATGGGCCATGGCTGCCAGGCAACGATGCAAAATTGGCTTCATTTGGTTGTGTTCTGCCAAGCCTGGGAACACTCTTGTTATGTGCCGGTCCAGTTCTTCAGTAGATAAGTCCGTGAACTCAGGTGCACTGACAGCAAATTCGCTTTTCAGTAGTGGCAGAAGAGAAAGCATTCGACCAACAAACGCGTCTCCTTCTGCCTCGTATGTCATGTAGACGTCCTTGACACCACCCAACGACCATCCTCCTCGGATACAGATTGAGATCGAGGATGGACCACCAGGCTGCCCACTAAGCCACTTTGTGGCTCCCTTTCTAATGCTGTGAGAGCCAATCTCTGTGTAGCTCACGTATCCCATGTACAGCAGTTCGGATTCGTGTTCTTTTAGGACATTAGATAGCCCATCCATGAAATGTTTGTACTGAGAATTCCCTTGAAACAGTTTCCCATTCATCTCCGAGCGCCCGTCCCTAAGGCCTAAGTACAGTGCAAGGGCAAATATTGGGCACACTTCTGGCTGCTGCGGATTTGCATATAGCCGTCTTGGGAAACGCTGCTTTTCTCCGGTGGTATCATTTTTTTGCTGACAGAATAACAGCTCCAAGTGGTCAGCCTGCCATTGCATATGTTCGAACAAAATTGTCACTGTGTTGTTGGCCCTGCACATTAAGTTCCATGTAAGAACCAAAAAACAGTGGCAAAAGATACTCCTATCATCTCCCTTCTCCAATAGCCACTGGCAGCATTTCACATATAGCTCGTACGACATAGGCAGCTTTCCGTCGCTATCATGTCCACCTTCATTTTGGGCCGCATTTGCAATGAGCCTGTAAAGGCCTTTTTTCTTCACAGATAACTCTTGCTTGAACTGACCAGGCATTCCCATTGCGTCATGACACCTAAATAGATGGTACAGCGCGGAGCACTTAACACCAAGGGATGTCTTCCCAAGGAGTTTTCCCTTGCTTGTCCTGAACGTTTGCAGGAATGCCATCCAAGCATCTACAGAGCAGTTGTCCACAACCAGCATGGGTTGATTACCACAGTTGGTAAGTGCATTTGCTAGCCATTGGTCTCGGACCTTGGCCTTCTGCACCCTTCCACTTGTAGATTCAACCTCCGTCTTCATGGCTTTGAACGATGCTTTGGTCGCATCTGTGAACCACCCATTAAGAAATGCAGGTTCATCCTTGCAACCTTCCTCAAGCATCATGATGATTTGGTATCCATAGCCCTTCCCAGTGCTTTGAGAGACTATGGCGGCTTTGATTTCTTCTTCAGAAAGAAGGTTTGGGCGTGGATTCGCATGTTGTTGTAGCTTGACAAGATTTTGGGTGCAATGTGGTGAAAATAGGTGGACGATGCCTGAGGACCCAAGCAATTGGACTATAAAAAAACCCAATAGTTCTATTCTGATTTTCCTTATTCCAATGAAGGTGGACACAAGTCCGGCAAAAGTTGTCTAATTTTGCATTTTACAAGTGCCTACCTACTATTGCATGTATCCCTAGTACATTTTGGTGGTGATTTGGGCCCCAAAAATCCTGAAGTGATCCGAAAAGTTGGACGATTGTCCGCCCATTTACTTAAGGAGTCCTGCAAAACGTCCGCCATTTGTCTGAGAATCCTCGTTGTGAGACTTCCTGGGAAGGGTCGAATGCAAGACGATGGCTGTAGTTGGAGCTTTTGAACTATAATAGTACCTATGTGATTTAAAAAATTGAACTACCGAGAGCCCACGTGGAATTGTCGTAGAAAGAGTATAACGGCTAATGTCAACGACAACGTTTTAAACCACACAAAAAACAAACCAATGGCGTCGTTTCACGAAAAGGCAACACCTACACATGGGGTTTTTCGTGGTGGGTCATCACGATACAACACTTTACAGACTAGGAGAGAAACGCCATACAAGAGAGTTAAGAGCGGAGCTGACGAAAACAACGAGAATCCAGCTGAACTATCTTCCCAGTTGTTGATTGATAGAACAATACCGCAATCGCTTCACCGAACTTATTCTGCGCCAAATGGGTGGAACGGAGGAGACACGATTCTGGAACCTTCTCCTGCTCGAGATCGTAGAGCTATGCTCGAAGACTGGAGGCGCAGAAAAGGTCGTCATGTTACAGGCATAGACTCCACTTCGCGAAAACGTGTCAAGCGCATTCCATCTTCGTGTCGAGCAGGTTATCACAACAGAAACGATCTCCAAGACACTCACAGCAGTACAATCCAGAATAAATCTTACGATGATAGAGACGAAGAAACCCCAATCAGAAAACACCTTGCCACGCCTGGTCAAGGAAAGTTAGGAAGTGCTCGTCGAAGCAGCCTTATGGAAAAGAGTGTCTTGAGTAGTACACCTGAAGGTGAGTGTTTTGAGATACGGCTTGCTTTGACTTCGTTTTGAAACTCTAATTAATCCTGGCTTTTTCAGTCCACAGAAAAGGAACTCATCCAAGTTCATCAAATTCGGCACTGGTAGATACCATTGATGACGCTGGTTTCCAGTCACAAATGGAAAGGATGAAGCGACGTTTGGAACAACTCGAAAAAGAGAAAATGGATTTGTCTATGTCAAAGGCACCATTAGAGGCAAGAATTCGTCAGAAAGAAGACGCGTGGATGAAAGAAAGGGCTTGTCTTATGCAAGAAGTTCAGTGCTCAAGACTTTCGCTGCGGTGATCTTCAGGTCCAGTATGACCAGGCCCATGATGAACGCATTCAACTTCGCCAAGAAATACGAAAAGTCTCGAGCTCTCGTCAAAACTCTAAGGATATTGGGTTGTGGCCCAGAAAAATTCAAAACGACCAGGATGTTTGGGATGTTAGAGAAAAATTACGAGCATCAGAAGAAGAACTCAAGTCTACGCGATTGGCAAAAACTTCGCTTGAAAAGGAGTTACATGCGACAAAAATTGAGTTAGACTGTTTGGAGCGCAACAACAACAAGATGCAAGCTGAGTATGATGAAATTGCAGCACAAACGTCAGACAACAGAGACGCAGAGATTAAGCTGCAGGTTCTAACAGAAGAACATATGGCAACGTCAGCTGCTCTCAATGCAGTTTACGCTGAATTAGATGCAACAAAAGCGAGAGCAGAAGCCACTATATCAGAAAAAGATGAAAGACTCAGAAAAGAGATTGAGCAACTTCGATTTGATCTGAGTGTAATGAAAACTCGGGCAAATAAGGTACAACTTGATTTGAACAAATCGATACAGAATGTGGAAGATGAAGATGAGGCGGTACTTCGCGCGCGGATCGAAGAGAGAGATCAGCGAATCATTGAACTTGAAGCGGAGCTCCTGAAAGGTGAAAAACTTCGTCGACACATGCACAATTGCATCCAGGAACTCCGTGGTAACATCAGAGTTTTTGTGCGAACACGACCGTTTCTGCCAGGCGATGAACAAGACAAAAACTCTCCCATCAACATTACACCAGATGGTGAATCGATGTCAATAATCGATCGTCGAAGTGGAAAACCACTGAATTTTCATTTTGACAAAGTGTTCTTACCTTCGGCAGGCCAGGAAACTGTGTTTCAGGAAGTTTCCGATTTTGTACAGAGTGCACTAGATGGGTACAACGTTTGCCTTTTTTCGTATGGACAAACTGGGTCTGGAAAGGTAAGTGAAATATTCGCGTCCATTGCACTTCATTGCGATCTTCCATGATTGATCAACATTGTATTACCATAAAAAAGACGCATACTATGCAGGGGTGCGGTAATGGTCCGATGAGAGGAATCATTCCCAGGGCTGTAGAGCAGGTACTTGCCCAAGCAAATAATCTCTCTACACAAAAGTGGGCATTCACACTTTCTGCGTCTTTTCTTGAGATCTATAACGAAGGCCTAAAGGATTTGCTTGTCTCCATACACTCTGGACAAAATTCCATACATGGACAAAAGCTTTCAATCAAAAGAGATAACGAGAGCAAGATGTTTGTCCAGGGTCTTACAACTGTACCTATTGATACCACAAGTAGTTCTGAAGCAAAACGTCAGCTTGAAGCATTGATGATGGTTGCAGCACAGTCACGTTCGGTGGCAAGTACAAAGATGAACTCGCAGAGTTCTCGAAGTCACTCGATTTTCATGATGCAGCTAAAAGGCTTCAACGAAGATACAGGGGCGAGTGTTTGCGGTGCTTTGAATTTATGCGATCTAGCTGGAAGCGAAAGACTAGATCGTAGCGAAGCCAACTTTGATTCTGCACGGCTCAAAGAGACGCAATCAATCAACAAGAGTCTTAGCTGCCTCGGAGTAGTCTTCAATTCACTGGCCATAGGAGCATCCCACATTCCTTATAGGAATTCGAAATTGACTTATTTGCTCCAGGATTGCCTCAGTGGTGATGGCAAAGCACTCATGTTTGTCAATTTGAGTCCTACGACAGAAAGCAGTGGAGAAAGTTTGTGTTCCTTACGATTTGCCCAACGTGTAAATCAAGTTGAGTTAGGCAAAGCGACCAAGAATATAGCTTACACGAAGACTTAGCGCTTTGCAGTCGATGATTTTGCTGGTAGAAAATAAGTCAATCGAATGAGAACTACAGTTACCAATAATATGGGAGCAGCAATAATAAAGGAGCAGCAGAACTAATATCTACAAGCATTACGTGCACAAACGCAATAAATCTCCATTATTCGTTCAAGTAGTCATCTGCAAACCAAATTAGAGCTTGTCGAGGTACTTGCTGAGTTCTGGCACACCTTCAGCAAGACCTTTCCGTTTTCGCACACTTAAAACGACTTCTTGAGTCTTGGTACCATCGTCGTAAGGAGACCCGGACATAGCTTCCCAGTGATCGAAAGAACATTGTGGGAAGGCCTTGCCACCGGTGTTGGAACGGAGATCGGCTGTGAAGCCGAAGGATTCCATAACAGGCAAGTATGCAAGAAGGGTCATCATTGGTGTTCCCGGGCGTTGTTCCTCGGTGAAGACATGTCCACGACGACGAGTCAAAACACCGTACACATTACCCATCGCATCTTGAGGAACGGAGATATTGCACAGGTAAACAGGTTCGAGAATTCCTGGTTCACCAGAAAGCATTGAAGAGAAGCAAACACGACGGGCGGTAGGCATGATCTGACCCATTCCACGATGAATGGCATCGGCATGAAGGACAACATCCATAAGGTTGTATCGCGTTCCACGCATTTGTTCTTCACAAAGAGGACCATTTTGAGAAGCCCAAGCAAAACCTCCAACAACAGATTCCTTGATTTCAGCCAAGTAGTTCACACCCTTGGTGGTATCGACGAAAAGGTTTGGCCCGGTTCCTTCTGGACCAAATGCCCAGATCTTCCTGGCTTCAGTGACATCCCATCCGAAATCATCAGCAAGAGTTCTTCCCAAAATCTTGGCATCGATTCCAGGACGGATTTCGCCATCGTCGATGGCGACACAGAGTTCTGGGGTAAGTGGCTCGGCTTCGACGAAAAGACGGTTGTGCTTGTTTGCAGACTTGGCAAGACAAGTTTGGTTGGACTTTGCGGTACAGGTCTCACGGAAAGAAACTACGGGGTCTGAAACCTTAACCTGAGTCCCCATGAAGTCATTTTGCAGATCTTGCAAACAAATCTCAAGGTGAAGTTCTCCAGAGGCAGCAATGATGTGTTCTCCAGACTCCTCAGTGTAACATAAAACCATTGGATCCGATTTGGCTAGACGCTTCATACCTTCAACTAACTTTGGAAGGTCAGCAGAGTTCTTCGGCTCAACAGCACAACGAACAACAGGTGACACTGAGAATTTCATAGTCTTAACACAATGAGCATCTTCCTCGGTACAGATGGTTCCAGACTTCAACAAGTATTGATCGACTCCAACCAAAGCACAGGTGTTTCCGGCAGGAACATCAGATACTTGCTCGGTGTATTTACCCATCATGATGACGGTACGCTGGATATTCTTGACCCACAACTCAGTCTTCTTTGCAGGCACATAATTGGGACCCATGATTCTGACCTTTTGTCCAGTGGCAATCGTTCCCGAGAAGACACGACCAAAAGCGTAGAATCTTCCTTTATCAGATGTGGGAACCATCTTGGAAATGTACATACAAAGCGGCGCTCCTTCGGATGTATCGCAAGTGCGGATGGCTTGGGCAGTCTTGTCATCAAGAGGGCCATCATAGAGGGTTTCGACACGGTATTTTTGAGCCCTTGCAGGAGACGGAAGGTGGAGTACGATCATCTCTAAAACGGTATCTCCCGCTGGAAGCCATTTTTGCATTACACGCTTCAAAAGTTGCTTTCCAACAAGTTCCTTTTCGTCAGACTTCAACTCAACACCAATGGCCTTCAACATCTTCTTGACCTTTCCGTGCTTCTCGGCCATGATGGCTTCGAAAAGAGTTGTAATGGGGGTTGCAATGAACTGACAAAATGCGCGCTCGAGCGTTCCTCCCTTGTCAGAGGTGGTCCAGACCTTTCGAGATGCATCAAAGTACCAATCTCCCCAAAGCTTGGACATCATCTTCTCTTCTGGGACGTTGAATTTAGCTCCATACGTCTTGGCGAATCGCTTCAATGTAAAGGCCCATTGATGAAGACCAGATCCGAAGGCAACAGTCCCAGCAGTGGGGTCAACTTGAACATCGCCGAGCTTTTCGTCGTTGTAGGTCGCAACAATCACGTTCACGGACTCGATGGATCGGCAAAAGGCTTGGTAGAGTTCTTCAGCTGGAAGTTGCAGTTCGAGAAGGGCGCGATCCACCTTGTTAACCATGAGAACTGGTCGGACACGTTCACTAATCGCTTGACGAAGGACCGTTTCGGTTTGAACACAGACTCCATCAATTGTATCAACAACAACTAAGGCTCCGTCAGTCACACGCAATGCAGCTGTGACCTCAGAGGAAAAGTCAACGTGACCAGGCGAGTCGATCAGATTGATAAGGTAAGAGTTTTCTCCAATTTGAACGTTGGCTTGTGCGTCCTGTTTCTCGGCAATCTCAGCTGCAAGCTCTTGTTGTTCCTCGGCACTGAGCCCAGAAGCTTCTCCTGCCTTCATGTCATACTCGAAAAACATAGAGATACCAGTGGACTTGATCGTGATACCGCGTTCAGCTTCATCGGCTCGAGTATCAGTGTAGCGTGCGCCACCGGCTGCCTTTGAGGAAATAATACCGGCCTTTTGAACCAACGAATCCGTAAGGGTGGTCTTGCCGTGATCAACGTGGGCAATAACAGACATTGAACGGATGTTGTGTTTGAGGTCCATTATGGACCTCATTTGATCAACTGTGAAATTCACCTGTAACATAAAGCAACATAGTTTGTCAGCGTTATGGTTTCAATTTAAAAAAGAGCTAAAAGGCCGGGCATCATTGTGATGAGATTGGAAACGTGCATGTTTGTATCCTATCCTTGAACAGTCAGTAGAGCAGTGCAGCACTGCCTCCTAACGCAGCATCAGATAGCAGCACGATCCCTCTCCCTCTCCCTCTCTCTCTCTCTTGTCTCTATAGAACGCTCCATCTTACGCACCATCTTTTAGATTCGATGCAAGGCAGTATATGGCTCAGTGCGAGTCCAGATGCTCCAGCGGATGGTCCATCACGAATGGGATATGGGCCATTGTGCCATGAGTTTCTGGCTGGTACATACTGTACTGTACTGTCACTTAGGTGCGATATTATCGAACCCCTTTTCGCGTGCAGCGTGCAGCGTGCATTGCATTTTGATTTTTTTGCTGCAGAATGCATGCTTGTTTCCGTTTCGATAATACGAAATTCAAAAATTGGCCTGCATGCATTGTAGTAGTCGCATAGGTCAAACGGCTCATTACTCGTATAACAAGCACATTATATTTACCAAAAGACACCGGCACGGTCAGTCTGACCTCCACCTCCCACATCTGGTGAACCAAATCGGAGTGGAAGGACAGACCCATCAAATAATTCACGAATTTTCACAAGTTCAAATACTGCTTGTATTCAAATGCTGCTTGTAGTTTATACTATATGATACGATAGTTACTATTTGTACTCAAAAGTCGGTAGCGGAATCAAAGCTTTTTACCTGAAGACAAAGTAAAAGAGCTGTTGGCTCTACTAGATACGATTTGACTGTACATATACTATATCTAATATGATTTTGGTGCTGGTACCGGTACACTGCTCCCTCCGTCTTTGCAATGTGTCCACACAAATCAGTGTGGGGAATATGAAAAATATCAAACTAGACAAGAGAGCAAAACCTGAAAAGCAACAAAGCAGTTGCCGCCTTGTAGAATGATTACATGTTGCAGACTGAAAAGCAGGTGCTGCCAACAAGGGACGAAGGTGGCTGAAGGAAGCCAATGAGCCTTTCGAACAAGACTATTGAACCATCTCTGAATCATCTATGTGGTGGTGATGATGCAAAGCCGAGTATTGTTTTGCGTCAAATAAAGCAGACACTACATACACTGCTGTATCAACAATAACAATGAAGACAACGATGACAATCATAATGACAATCCATGATAGCGCTCGCAGAGGCAATGCAGTGTATCAGGAGATGACGACAAGAAAGCTGCGGATGGTGGAGGCAACTCAGCATATCCTTACAAATGAAGTCCCAGTCTGACAATACCGTCTGACAAGACCAACTTTTGATTATTCCCAGAGTGCTGGCTCCCAACATGGTGAACAACATGGCTTGAATTGAAAATCTAGTGGCGGTATCATTGTCCCAGTTGTAACTAGTGTAGGAAAGTGTGGGGCCGCTAGAAACTGAGATGTCACCAGTCATAGTCAAACCCTAGCCCTCCTTTTCTTGATGACAGTAGCACAGCAGCATCCATACCTGCAGACGATCCAGCCATCTTCATTACTCCAATGCACCAAATCTCCAACCTGTTAAAGCGAGGACTTGGCACAACACAATGAAGCTTTTATGCTACATACTGTTTGTCACTCTGCGCAATGAAAGTTGAGGAACAGATATGTAAAAAGCTCAGTATGCAGAAGCGGATGAAGGAAGAACCCGTCTCTGAGGAATTGGAAGTGCCACTGGCTAGTACTAATGAAAGAAGAAGGAAGATTCAGCTTGTTCACGGATTGGGTTGGAACAACACAAAACAAAAGGACAGCAACAGTGCGTTCTGGTGGTGATGTTTTTTATGTGGTGATGTGTGATGTGTGTAATATTTTGTCTTCGCTGTTTCTGCGAGCAGTATTTCTGCGAGCAAGCCGGGTGTAGTCGTTGTGTTGGAGGTGGAGGTCAGACTGACCGTGCCGGTGTCTTTTGGTAAATATAATGTGCTTGTTTATAAATTCAACGTGTTGTGAAACGGTATTTTCATACTTTTCATTGATACCATCGTTTTTTCGGGCATAGTCACCGCCACGGTCTGAATATCCAAGCAATTTGCGGCGAAACTTCGATTCATTTACTTCACTGTGGCTGCTCCAGGATCGACTGGCGATGCCAGAGCATTCAAACGTTGTGAAGAGCTTTTGCAGTGGATCACAGATTTGCCGAAGGAATGTTTATTGGGGGCGACGATGGCAGCAGTATTTTCCTTGGCCACCGGGTGGTAATGTTTTCGCGCTGTAATTCTGTTTGTTCAAACCAATGTTGTAATGAAGGTTATCATCGTCCTCGCTATCAGAGTCTAATGGAAGAATTGACAAGGCATTCATCATGATACACTAGTGAAAAGAGCAGAAGATCAAGTGCAATGGAGTCTTTTCGTATTATTTTGATGTGAATTGTGAGTCGAGGTCTTCGAAACGCTATTGAGAATTGGCCAATCAAAATCATTCAATTTCAAAATGCAGGATGGATGCAGATTCCTGCAGGGACGCACCACAACGTCAAACGCACGCCCGAAATCTGTCCGTTTAGATTGTTTTAAGGATTTTTTTAGCTTTTAAATAATATTTATGTGTCCGTTAAAATGCTCCGCGTCTTTGACGCGGGACGTTTCTTTTGACGCGGGAAAGACGCGAGTTGCGTTAGTTTGACGCGGAGTTGCGTTGGTTTGACGCGGAGTTTGACGCGGAGTTGCGTCAGTTTGACGCAGAGTTGCGTCAGTTTAACGCCGATTCCGCGTCAACTGACGCGGGTTGCGTCAATTTAACGCGGGCCTGTGTGTCTTCCACGCGGGACGAAACCCGCGTACTGGTGTCAGTTCCAAAAAGATTGGAGTGTGTGAGTGAATGAGAGTTTGAGTTCCCACTCTCATTCCAATGAGAGTTGCCCATTTTTTGAACAATAGATCTGATGGAAATTGACAAAGCTGGGGCACATAATGGCAATGATGCTATTTTCCAATCAAGAAGCAACAACCTTATGAATGAGGAGTTTGAAGCCCTTGATGAAATTCACCAACAGATATCCCTGTCTTGCTCATCAACGGAATCCCCCAGATATAGTACTGCTCAAAAATCTTATAGAAAACATATTTGAGAATGGATTTGGCATACTTGGCCAGGGATCTGGCAATGTCTCCTATTCCTTTCAGGATCATCTTTCTGCTCTCCTTGTTGTCTCAATTGTTTAAGGACTTATTGCATCCAGCATTCTTGTTGAACACCAAAAAACAAGGCAGTATGTGTCTTTTGCAAGATGAAGAAGTTCCAATCATTGCAAGGTATTTGGATCCATAACTATGATAAGCATACACTTGCGGTACTAGGTGCTGTCCTGGAATCAATCCAAATTGGTTTAGAGCTTGGAACTGTGAAATTTTGGGATATGAAGCCAAGTACTCTTGATAAACAAATCCAGAACTGTAGCTCATAGCATAATGAAGTAGCTGATGTCAGAACCTGAACTGTGCTCTTATAACATTGTGTTTCTAGCCTCCCTTGAGTTTGACGCGGGATTGACGCAACTGTATCTGTTTGACGCGGGATTCACGCAAATTCTTGAGTTTGACGCGGGATTGACGCAACTTGCGTCAATTTGACGCAGTTTCGTGCGTCACGCGTCATTTTGACGCAAACATTTGCGTCAATTTGACGCAGATTTGCGTTAATTTGACGCAGATTTGCGTTAATTTGACGCGGGGCGTGCCCGTTTTTGCGTCAAATTGACGCACGGGGCATGCCCGATTTTCACAGTGCGCCCGCGCTAAAATGGAAACGGACACTTAACGTTTTCCAATAAAACCATTTTTAACTATTAACGGACATTTAAATTGCGTGCGTTGCACGTTGTGGTGCGTTCCAGCTCGCGGCAAAATGGATGCAGCCTGTAGGGGTACCCGGAAGTGGATTCTGCATGCTGCAAATCCGCGTGCAGGCTGCACGTTTTTTTTTCTCGATAAGTTCGCTTCTTAGTAATCGTGTCACTCTATAACCATCGTCTGTAGTTCGTCCTGTATCGTCTGTCGGTCGCACGTAAACGAGCGAAAGGACCATCATCTGAACGCAACCCCCCAAACCAGCAGGCCCATCACGTAAAAATATCAGTACGCGCCAGCCGAATATTTCTTCGACCGCCAGCCAGGAGCGGCCTGAAATGGCAGACTTGCTGGGAATGTCCTCAGATATGTCATAGATTCCCTGCCAGGATGACGGAAACTGACGTGCCGGTGACAGATTCTGCGCAATGCAGAGCTTGGGCTTCGCTGAAAACGAGCCTGCCTAAAGATTCATTTCATTCGTGGACGTTCCGTTGAAATGGATGAACTTCGT